CCTTAGTGCAAGCGTGGTATGACAACTACGGAAGTAACCAACTGCTTTCGGGTTGGATTTGAGCTAGTTCCACCCAATCAAAAGCCCATGACTGGGAAGATCAGAGGCCCACATGGGGGAATATATTGCTGTTGCTTTGCTAAATGCTCACCCTGTCTAACTGCCTCCTAAATATTTATATTTATACCCATAGACATACACTTAGATTTTGTCAGAGAAGCTTCTTTTTGCTGTAGGCACTGGTTAATGCAAAGACTTATAACTGCTCTACGTGCTGAGTATAAATGAGTTCTCAGGTACACACGGGTCGTTTACATCAACCTCCTCATCCAAGGCTCGGGGAGCACTGCAGAGAAGGGAGCCGAAAGAATGTAAGGTCGGTCAGTATGGGAGAGAACTATGAAATGCTCACTTGCAGACATGGCATGGCTGTTGTTCACATCAACTCCCAGCAGCTGTGGTCACCTGTGCAAGATCAAGGTAGTCACAATACCGCAAGGATGGGGGAAGGGGCCAAAGCCTCATCTCTAGAGCTGCTGAGGGAGGGAGATTCACTCTTTTTTGGAGATGTGATCTGGTAGGTTTCCCCTGCCCCTGTGGATGTTCCTCCACACACGTGGGCAACATTAAATAGACGCAGGAGGTTATTAATAACAATTAAAGGATATGACGTTGAGAAAGAGGTGGGGTTTGGTGGGGGCACTAGAAGTATTGGAGGAAGGGAGGGGGAAATTGACGAATGCGATCAACATGTACTGCATGAAATAGAAACATAAATGTACGGAACTTTCTAAGACCAAATAGAAAATACCATTATTTTTAAAAAAGACTTGTGTCTATGCCGTGCAGGTATTGTAAGAGGTGCTTGCCATGCAAAGACGATAATCAGTCACCTGTCCATTTTTTCCCTCTTTATATATGCACATATATGGAACTTCCAGATACCTCTATCTCTAAGAAAATCAAACGTACCAACCAGCACTGCTCAACTAAGACAACCTTCCCGAGAACCATGAGTTAACTCTCGAGATGACGCTTCTCTCGCAGGTTTCCAGGACCGGGCCACACATTTGGAACGCGGTGGCCTCACACTTGCTTTCGCCCTTGTGACATTTTCACAGCTCTCAGCAAAATGCTTGTGTCACCGTCGGTGGCTCTGCAAATGATCGCAGTGCTTGTTGAGAGTCTGTTTTTCTGGGCCAGATCTGATACTGTGGACCTGGGGGAGGGAGGTGCAAAGCCCAAGGCTGGTTCTTTTCATCCAAAGGGAGAGAGCAGACTCGTGGCCGTGTTCTTCTCTTTAAGGGGACTGATCTATGTACCTAGCCAGAGCGTGCAAGATGTTCAAAGTCGGCATTCGAATACAAAAGTGCATTAATTCCAAACCAGAGTTGGCATCGTAGAGTAGCAAAGGATCGCTCTGCTTTAAGTGATCACAGAGGTGTTTGTGATTCTGTTTTGCTTTCATGATAGACTGTTATTCTGTCTGTGATTTATTTAATGCTACATCTCCAGCCTGCAAGAGAACTCTCAATTATTGTAACAGTTTCCATGGAAACATATGATCTATTCTCTCTTATTTGCTCACTGTTCCCTAACGATCCATTCTCCCACTACCCCCCTAAGCACCACCTCAGCCTCAGTTCTTTCCAGAAGCCCCCATGGAATTTCCATTTTCCATCAGCAATTCTCCTGCCTATACTGTTAAGTTATCAAAAGCATGTGCACGGTACACTGACTTTTGAGTTAACAAGGACAAAAATAAGAATGGTAAATGAGCCCGGGGAGACTAGAATGAAGCAAATTCAATTAAGAAGAGTTCACATGTGGAGACCGAGTCAGCGAGGGGCCACAGGAGTGGGCAAACTTGAGTGGAAGCAAGATTCCCCAATGTTTATACTCCTAATATAATTTTAATTGTAAGCCATGTAAATACAAGGCTGGCTTGAAATATAATTGGAGAAGAAAGAAATGAGGAAGGACTGTGTGTAATTATGAAGTTTCTTGGGTGGTGACAATCTTGAGACTGTGCTGATTGTTGTGACAAATTAGAAACCACTGGAGGATTGTATTGGTTATGTGGGGAGAGCATAATGGTATGAAAATTACATCCGCAAAAAACTCTGCATGTGTGTGTGTGTGTGTGTGCGCACGCATGTGTGTGTGCTCACATATGCGTTGTGTACGATTCAATTTTATCTTCTATGAGTTGGAGGTCTGACTATGCTGCCCACCCAGCCTTGACTCCTTTTGCTCAGTTTCTTGTGTAGTTATATATGTGTATCACTGCATCCAACTCAAAACTTAATTTTTGAAGTTCCTACATAAGACTGGGTGAGGTGTTGCCCCTTTGTGATCTCTGCACCTGAGTGGATGAGGCAGAAGGACAATAGGAAGGTTCAAGGCCCACCCATGCGACATAGGTCAAACCTCAGAAATGACATAACACAAGACTCCCTACTGGACTCAGCCTATCAGAATTCCCTCTTCCTTTAGGTCACTTTCTCCTTCATCCTTGGGGAAACTGCTTTACTTTGAAATCCATTCTTCCTAACATTTTAAACACCCTGACTCTCCCCTTAATATTTCATCTCTAGCCTTCCATAGAGCCCTTCACTCCCACCAAGTGGCTCCCCTCTTCCTGTTTACTTTCCTTTCTGACCCTGTCTAGGCACCGTGTTCACTCACTCAGTTACTACATTTTTCCTGGCCACCTGCTTTCTACATGCTATCCTCTGTGCATTGCAGCAGGCTGTGTTACCATAATCTAGTTCACTGCTTCTCCTAAACCAGCCCAAGTCTTAGTCTCAATATGCTTCTCCACCCTACACCCAAACTGCTCATCACTGCTTGGAAAACTCACCCAAGGGGTGTGGACCACAATCTGCTGCCTACTGTGCAACCTGATGGAGCTCAGCGCTTCTTGGCCATCCCCTTGGATGTCTGTCCTTTCTTTCCATTCTCACGCCATCCTGAGGCTCTTCAAACTCTAAGACAGCATTTCAGACTCTTGAATGGACCTCAACAGAAAACCTGGTCATAGGCAATAGAAAACATGAGCACTAAACCTAGATGTTAAATTAATCGCATCCATAATTCTGAAATTCAGTGTTGGCTATAACAGGGAAGAGTCTTGCTCTTGGGTCACTTTAGCAGAAAGAGCAACAGACCAGTATGTAAATAGGAGTATCATCCACTAATAGTTTCCATGAGAGGAGAATATAGAATGGAGAATGGCTGGGCAAGGGAGCACATGCTTAAAATCCCAGCACTACGAGGAAAAACTGACGCAGCGAGACTATGGGTTGGAGCCCAACCTGGGCTATGTAGCAAAACCCTACATCAAACAAGAGAATTAATGGATAACTGCTTTAAGTTGGTGGTCAGGGAAGACCTCACAGAAGTGGTATCCCAGTAGAGATGGGAATTAGAAGAGCCAGCCATGCAAAGACCTGAGGGTCTTGTGTCAACAAAGCTCCAAAAGAAGAAGAAAATTGGCTTGATTAGGCACCCAGCAGCCACCATTAAATCTAGAACGTGCTGGGCAACAGGAGAAGAAACAGTAAAGATGTGAAGGAGCAAAGAAGGATGAGATCATAAGGGTAGCGTAAGCCACAAATGGGAACGGAACAGACAATGCATCTGAGCTGTGGCAGGAGAGAAGACTAACTTACAGTAAGCTAGTAAACAAACCACTGCAGCTGCTAAGCGAGGGGCGTACTGATTATGGGTGCTGAGGTGGCGAGGGACACCAGTTAGGAGCTTTTGCAGTGGTTTGGCTGAGGGCCATGCTGTGGAAGATGGAGTAGAGGTAGCAGGTGCTGAGTAGGCTTTGACTGACCCAACAGGATTGGCCAGTGAACTGTACGGAGCATGGAAGGGTACCGGTGGTAGAAGGACAAAGATGGAGAACGTAGGGGGACTCAAGGATAACTCAGGTTTCTGGCTTAAGTTTCAGAGACGAAAAAGAAATTTATATTTTTTGCACACCTGAGTTCACGTGATGAGATTTATAGCAGACATCTTTGTGGCACACTCAGGGATTCAAAGACTCCAAACAACACTAAACAAGTCAGGAATACTTATAACACAATCTCAACTCTGGTGAAACAGCGTCTCGCGGTGTCTATAAAAGCATCCAGAATTGCTCTACGAGTCCCAGGGTCATCCTTCACTGTGCTGTTGCTCAAGAGGAACTGTTCCCAGTCTCGACGGCCACCGTGATCTTTTCCAAAAGCAAACCTGATCGTGTCACTTCTCTGCTTAAAAACTTCCAATGGCTCCCCACTGCACTGAGGATAAAATCCAGGCGTACCTTCCTAGCTCATCGCCCTCGGCGTGTTCAGGCCACTGCTTCCCTTCACTACCTCCTGTCCTCTGCTCACGTCACCGTGGCCCCAGTGCCTCCTGATGGCACCTAGAATATCCTCCTGCCTGCGTCACTGTGAACCCGGTGCCTCCTGGTGACACCTAGAATGCGCCAAGCCCGTCCCACCTCAGGATGCGGGCACTGCTCTTCCCTCTGCTGGAACAGTCTTTCCTTGCTCTGGCTTACCTCAAGAGACTGGGTCTTATGTATTCCAGGCTGGCCTTGAACTCACGATGCAGCTGAGGAGGATCCCTGTATCTCTACCTCCTGATGCCTAAATTTTGAAGTGATGGCGATGGGTACTTGCCTCTATGTCTGGATTATGCAACGCTAGGGACCAAATCAGGGCATCATGCCTGCTAGGCAAGCCACCCTGATAACTGAGCTACGTTCTCAGCTCCTCCTTCCTTGTTCTGAATGCATGGCTGGCTCATTGCCATTCTTGGCTCATTTCTCCTCTCCAGATCATGTGAGTGGGTCCCCTCTTGATTTGTAGGTGAGATAAGCCCCTATTCACCTTCTTCACAATGTTCAGTACAGGCTGCAATCTGGGTTTATCTATGTTCACCTCTTTTCCCACCATAGAGACATCCGTTCCATCCAAAGTGGATGCAACCAAGTCACTCTGTACCTTGCCAAAGCTGCCTTTCCCCAGCACCATCAGGAAGTTAAAATCGGTCAGTTTCATCCGGTCCCTGTTGCCATTGTTGTCAAATTTGGAGATGGTGTTGGCTGTCTTTTCTTCTGGAGCTTTGGTACCCTGGTTGATCTTGGCTCTCTGGAGGAAGAAATAAACAGAATACAGGATGAGGGCTGGGAACATGCTGTAGGAAGATACACGGGCTCAGCAGATGCTGTGGTTCCTACAGTCAGAAATCTAAGCTCTGCAACACATAACTGCATTGCTCTGCAAATGTACCGCCTTGAGGTCATCCTGGTCCCCTCTCATTATCCCTCCAATCACGTCCTTCCCTGGGAGGTGCATGTTTCCTTGGCGACCCTGGAATTCATCGACTTCTTTCCCTGTCTATCAGCACCGCCTATTAGCATCTATCTGTCACCCAGAGGACCCACGTTGGTTCCCTCCCTATCACGTTTCACAGTAACCAACATGAAGCTTCTCACACAAGCGAGTCAGCCACTAGCCAAAATGCTTCAGCTTGCATTTGTTGAGAGAGTAAGCGCTCCTTCCCCAAAGCCGCTGAGCCTGTGTAAGAGAGCCAGCCCTTCCCAGCTGCCGTCCAGACACAGCTGTTGGTAATTTCTGTCCTCGTTGGCTTGACTTTCTTCACACACGCTTGTTTTGTGACTTCTGTTTCCCTTTGCACCAGAGTGTAAGCTCCTGGAGGACACGGGCTTTGCCAGTTTGGTTTTCACTGATTCTCGGGTATCTGGATGAGTATGTGGAGCTGAACAGGCAACAGAGTGCACCTGGTAAAGGAACGTTCTATACCTCAGTCCCCATGAACGCTGACCAGTTCCAAGCATGAGCCCCGGTACACAGCAGACCCTGTGAACGGCTACATTATTATTTTTTCCTTATTTCATGGCTTTTGATGACAATTAGGCAATAAAATGCTTCCTGAAGTTTTGTTTCTCTCTCTCTCTCTCTCTCTCTCTCTCTCTCTCTCTCTCTCTCTCTCTCGTGTGTGTGTGTGTGTGTGTGTGTGACGAGAGAAACAGATAGAGGATAGATAGACAGACGACAGATGATCGGGAGCGAGCGAGAGAGAGAGAGAGAGAGAGAGAGAGAGAGAGAGAGAGTAAATTTTTGTAAATGTAAGTGGGGATGTGAGTGTGTGAATGTCACAATACACAAGTGGAGGTCAGAGGACGCCCTCAGGTGTCAGCCTTCACCTTCTGCTTTGTTGGAGGCAGGGTCTGTCTTAGCATTCGCCACTGTGTGCACCAGGCTAGGCTGGCCTGCCCTCAAGTTAATTTCCAGGGATTCGCCCATCTCTGCCTCCCCTCTCTCCACAGGAGCACTGGGATTACAAACGCCTGTCATAACCACGTGCCTGGTTTTACATGAGTTGGTGGAGAGTCAAGCTCAGGTCCTTCCCATTGCACAAACACTTTACTAACCGAGCCATCTCCCCAGCCCCTTCCTGGGGTTTTGAATGCCAATGAACATGACTCATCTAATCAAGGGACTCCCACTGAGTGTCTGCTACACACTGGGCTCTGCTGGAGGTGCCCAGGGTAGATCAGGGAGCAGAAGAGACACTGATGATGCGCATCATGCAGGGACAATGTCCTCCATGCTGACTTTCAAGAATGATGTCAGCTGTAGCCTAGGCCGACATTCAGTGAGCGAGACTGCTCGGCTCCGATCGCTTTTCATCTTCTTAGTTAGTGCTGTAAAAAAATTGAAGTTGGGACCAAGGGAGATACTTCTGTTGGGCAAGTGTGTGCCTTGTAAACACACAGAGCCGAGTTGCTGCCTCAGAATCCACATTTCAAAGGGCATGGTGGTATATGCTGGTAATCCCAAGGCTGGAGAGGTGGAAGCAAGAGGATGGGGCCCTGGGGCTCACTGTCCAGTAACTTAGCCTGCTCAGTGAGCTCCAGGCCAGTGAGAGACCTTGTCTCAAAATAAAGGTGGATGGTGTTTGAGGAAGGACACCCATGGTTGTCTGCTGGCTGCCATGTGCACATCAACACATATGTATCTGCACACAAGTGATCATGCCTACACAAATAAATAAAATATGTAAATAATTGAGATGCAAACAGATCTTAAGTACATAATTCTATGGATTTTGACAATTATATGCATAGCCATACCCCAAACAATATACAGAACAAGACCAACTACTCAGGGAGGTTTGCAGCTGATCTTCCCTTACAAACAGCGAAGACAAACTCTGCTCATAGGTCAGCTTCATCTATTCTTGAATTTCATCCAAATAAAATCAAAGCACAAAGACCCTTTCATGCCTTCTTTCCTCCTCTCATCAGAACATTCTGGAATCCCTTTTCACTCAGTTGCATGAATGAGTTGCCGAGAACTCATTGCTGGTAGTAATCATTCTTCTGTTGATGGGTGTTGGTGGTGTTTGAGGCTACTAACCAAACAGTTGTCCCAGTACTCAAACTAGTTTTTTAGTAAGACATGTTGACGTTTAAGCCCAAAACACCCAACAAGCAGCTCCTATGGGCTAAGGGCAAGGGAGAGACATTTGAGTGACAGAGGCATGGAGTCCCAGGGAGGCGGAGGTGATTCGAAGCATGAGACCATGTCACTGGGGTGGAGACGTCACGTAAGAGAGGTGCCCCAGACAATGGTTGCCTATCTTTCTTGGATCATATCCTCATGCCAACCTGAATCCTCCCTCTAGTCTCCTGTTTTTTTTCCTGATTGATCCAATCTCCCCTGCCCCCCTCCATCTCATTGCTTCCTCACTGGGTCTCCTGTTTCCTCTGTAGCTGACATGAGATGCACTGGACTCCCACGCTTGTTTCTTATCTCACTCCCACCCCAGCCACTGGGTGTGCGTGTCCATCCACATGGAAGTATAGAGCACAGTTTCCTCTTAAAGGAAATGGGAGGGCTCGTGCCTTTCAGTTTCTTCACTTGGATTTGTTTCAGTGGACTGGAATTAAGCTTTTTTTTTTTCCATTTTACTTTTAGTTTACACGCATAGGTATTTTGTCTACAGGTGTGTCTGGGCACTGTGTGCATGCGGTGCCTGTGGAGGCCAGAAGAGGGCATCAGATCCCCTGGAACAGGCGGTACAGGCAGTTGTGAGCCACATGTGGGTGCTAGAATTTGAACCCTGTCCTCTGGAAGAGCAGTCAGGGCTCTTAACCACTGAGTCATCTCTCCAGCCCCCAAAATAACTAATTTAAAAAAAGTCCTTAGGGGCCAGTGTTTGTGAACTGTGTTTAGATACGATTCCCATGCTGGAGCTTGTTCCCCAGTATGACACAATACGACCTTGTGGAAAGTGAGTGGGTGACTAGGATGCCGCCCTTGGGAAGAAATGATGCTCCTTTCATTGGTTATTTCTCTCTAAAGTCTTTAGGAAGCAAAGCCACTATGTGCTGAACCCCTTCTACACACATCTACTTCCTTTTCTGTTTCTTCCCCATGATGGGACTCAGCCAAGGTGGTTCTCACCAGAGGCCACACTGATAGGGGCCATGCAGCTTTTCATCCCCCAAAATTGTGTGTGTGGTGGGGAACCTTTTCTTCTAAATTACCTAGCTTCAGTACTTTGTTACAGCAGTAGCATATTAGTTCAATATTAGAACCAAAAGAAGAAGTTTATTCTATCAAACGCTGTTGTCACTTTAACGTTTAATCAGTTGCCAACTGTCAAAAATCAGGAGAGGTCTTATAAACATCTAGAATTGGGCTGGAGGTGTGGCTCAGTATGAGAGCACTTTCACGGCAGGCATGAGGTCCTGTGCTCTCTCCCTCATGCCAAAAACAAAACAAAACTTCAAAACCAGACTCCCAGCCTCTTCTGAAGAAGCAGGCCTGGCGCCACTGGGTAGGCTTCCTCCCTGTTAAGGTGCCTGGTTCCCCAAAGCGTTTAGGATTGTTCCCCTGATCCTATGAACCTCCTGTGGACAAGAACCCTGTCATACAACTTTCTAGAGATCCCAGAGTTGCAGGTGCCTCACGGGTCCTGCATCAAAGACAGTGTCACCGAAAATGAAAGCCACAGGGGAAACAATCCTCCCCTGGCAGCCGCCTTTCATGTCTGCAGTGTTGAGAGGTGAAGCAGAAGGCAGCCCTGCCGAGTGGAGCTGGGTCCCTTTGCATTCTGCCCTAGTGAACCACAAAAACTCCAGGCTCCATCTCAGATGATCAATACCCGACTTCAGGCCCCTCTGAACCCTACCTACCGGGGCGCCTCCAAATGCACCCCAGCTACCCCAGAAGGCCAAAAAGCAAGGGGTGCAACTGGAGAGGCTCCTACCCACCCCAGGAGCATGTACTGAGCTTGGTTGATTTCCAGGGAGGATCTGGCAATGCCATTACCAGCATTCGACACCTGAATGCTTATGCTGTACCAGACGCTTCTAGAGGCATGATGTCATCCAGCCCTCATGCAATCTCAGGCAGTTAAGAGTGTCAGAGTCCCTTTGTTACAGATGATGCATTGAAAGCTCGGGCAGACTAACTTCCCTGTTGCAAGTAAGATTTAAAGCCAGGCAGCTTGAGCAGACTCTCGGGTGTGGTCCCCCACCTCTGGGCTGCTGTCTACAAAGACCTGCCACTTTGTCCCCCGCCCCTGGGCTCATCTTATCAGGGGTAGGTGCCTCCACTAGTGAGGGAAAGGGGCTGTGGGTAAGGCCCCAGCTCCTGTCCCTGGATGGGGGCACTCCGCAAGGAAACTCAGTGTTTTTGTTTTGGGAAGACGGGGGTTATTAAAGTCTAGCTGCTTGGAGCAGCAACAGCTTGATCTGATGGTCATCGTCCGTAGCAGAAGATACACACAACCACAGGGCAAATCACTGAGGAAAAATCTCCCCATACTGAACATGTACAGACCCTTTGATCCCCAAACAATACAGTATTAGCCAGTTAGCGACACTGCATTGCAATGTGCATTCCAGGTCATCTGGGGTGGTTTAAAGCATTTGGGAGGAGATTATATATATGGCCTTCTCTGGGGAGAATCTGGTGTCTCCAGGCTGGGTATCTCCTGAGGGCAGGGGGCTCTGGAATTAATCCCTCACTGACATAAAGGGAGCTGTCCTTATTCATATTCTCTCTCTCACCTCTCTCTCTCTCTCTCTCTCTCTCTCTCTCTCTCTCTCTCTCTCTCTCTCTCTCTCTCTCTCACCAAACCTCCTCATCACCCTGCTCCTCGTAAGCCTTATAGGGTCCGGTTCCCAAAGTAACTGTTATCACTGATTGACTGACTGATGTTTGTGAGCTAGGGTCTTTCTATGTAGCCCAGACTGGTCGCAATGCTTTAACTCTTGCTTCTGCCTCCCAAGTGCTTGGAACAGGAATGAACCTCCTATTCCAGGCTTGGGACCTTTATCATTTATTTTTAGAGAAATTCAAACCCATGGCCATGACCAGCTCTGGGGTCTTCAAAAGTTACTTCACTTTTCGTGCCTCAGTTTTTTTGCTGAAAGAGGAATTGATATGGCTCCAGTGTAGCTTTCTGGGCTGTGACAAGGAAGGCACACTCAGAGTGACACACGGTGTGTCCTAAGGCACACTCAGAGTGACACATGGTGTGTCCTAAATACTTTGTTAAGTAGGTGGATCCTAAAAGGCGAGTCGTCTCCCCCAGCCCCCACACACATGCAAGGCTGGAGGCAGAAGACACCCTCCAGAGGACACTCTGAAATGTCCACTCATTGCGTGCAGCACGCCCCACCACAGAACACTATCACCCCAATTCTGGCAGTCCCAGTCACCCCTGATAAGACGCTTGAAGGTAATTCCTGACTCATTCTGGTTGCTAATTGCTCATTGTGCGGGGATTACATTTCTCACGCTCAAGGTCAAGTAAAATCCCTCTGTGTGCCTGAGAGCGATTTCAGTCTGTTGGAAGCGTTTTTTTTTTTTAATCAACAACTATGGTATGGAGCGATTATAATTCAGCCATAAACAAGTATTTGCAGGCTCCTGCTAGGGATAAAGGGACATATTTTGTCGCATGCAGATAAAACAACCCTGTACTTCAAGCCAATTACTGTCTCAGACAAATGCTCTATTCGCATAGAAAACGTTTTCTTTGGTGTTTGGAAATGTCAGCCCTGCCGCCCCAGGACAGAAGGAAACGTTTTTGTGAAGCTGAGACTTCATTTTCTACAAGAGAATACTGGCCTTGTTTTAGGGTTTCTTTTTTTCACCCATAATCTTAACAGCCTCAGCCAACAGATACTGCCAGCCCAGAGAGCTTTCTCTGGAAGTCTTGCCTTCCAGTTCTTTTCTGAAAACATCCAATTCCCAGCTCCGTGTGGTGGGAAGGATCTTTTATCAAGTCCCTCAGTCTCGAAGGCCACCAAGAAAAAGACATTCAGCGGTCAAGGTCATTGTAAATGTTAGTCACTTTGTCACTGAGACCAGCACCGGATAGACACACTTAAAGGAGGAAAATGTATTTGGCTTCCAGTTTCAGAGGAATCTGCCCACAGTCTCTTGGCCCTGTGCACTCAGGCAGGGCATCATGGTAGCAGGTGGGTGTGGTGGGGGAACATCTACTTTCGTCATGGTGGACAGGAAGCAGAGAGTAAGACAGGAGGAGTCTAGCTAGGGACAAGACAACTATAGGGCCTAGTTCCTTCAGTTGAAGTTTCTAGAACTTTCCACAATAGAGCTACCACCAGGGATAAAGCATTCATAAGCCTGTGGGAACACTTCAGATTCAAACTATAACCGTGGATGAGAAGGATTGGCCAGCCCAAGGCCAATGCACTCATTTCCAGGGAGACGCCAGGGCATCTACAGCATCTAGTATTGTTCAGGCTGTGGAGGAGCCAGGCTCAAGCCAAGGGCCCTTGGACACTCCAGTACCAGGTGCCTAGTTGAGTGTGAAGCTAACATGCTTCTTGGAGTGAATGCCAAAGCCTTTCTTAAAGCCACTGCGGCCAGATCTCTGACCTTAACCACCTCCCAGTTCTCCTGACATTCACCCCTTCCTCCCCCATGCCACCCTGTTCTCACCCACTCCCCAGCCTCACCTGGGACTCATCCTTCCCAACCCCCACATGCCACCCTGTCCTCTGACCTCACTCACTCCCCAGTCTCACCTGGCACTCACCCCTCTTCCTCCTGACTCTGCTCCCACTGACCTTCCTCTAGAGTGAGCAGATGACTGCCTACCGAGACCTGATCAGTGGCCCCCAGACTCGTTGACTGTGTGAACAAAGGACCACGTTTCCCACATGAAAATACTTTTAAATCGTGTGATGTACAAATGCCATGCATAGTCACAGCCACCTTCCCTCTGCAAAACCTGCCTTGAACATCTCCCTGTGCAAAACTGGCATGTGTCTGCACACCTCACCCCACGGTCGCTGACGTGAGAGGAGCCCTGGTCTCAAAGACTGAAGAGAAGCCTGCCTGAGGGGGGAACAAGCGGCAGTAGAGTCTAAGGCCATATCCAGTCACTGTGAGGTGGACAAAATCATAGAGTCACGAGGGCGGTCAATCTATCTGAAAACAGTACAGCTCCACCTGCTGATAGACCCAAATTCAGAATTCTGACAAAACATATATATACTCTGTCCACTTCTTCATTATTACTAGTCCAGTCCAAATCAGTATCACAAAGACCTGGGCATGGAATGAGCACTTGGGAAGAAATGTCTAAGTCTGAACCAGTACAGGGACGATTTCACAGGGGAAGGGTCTTGAAGTATACATAAGAGTTTTCTAGGAGCTGGAACAGCATTGCAAATGCTCAGAGTCACGGAAAGTCTGCATATATATCACACCACAGACAAGATAAAAAAGATCGCAGTGATGCAGTGTACCAGGTTCCCATGGTGAAAGAACAAAACCTCACCTCAAACTTCTGCCGCAGCTCCTCATTGCCCTCGCTTCCCTCGGGTGGCACAGGCACATTGAAGTACTCGCCCTCTTCCTGGCTCAGCAGCTTGAACCTGATAGGAGACAAGTGGTTGTGAGAAGTCTGTGTCTGTGTGTAAGAGCATCAAGCTGAGCAGCAGCCCTGCCTAAAAACAATCAATCAAACTGTTGAGGGCTGGGGAGACAGCTCAGTGTGTGAGGACTTGAGTTCAAATCCCCAGAATGCACATAAAGTTGGACAAAGTGACGCATCTGTAAGCTTAACGCTGTAAGCTCAGAGAAGGAGGCTGAAACAGGAGAATCCCCCAGAAACAGCTTGGCAGGCAGCTAGCCTTGCATAAGCCATGCTGAGCAACAACACTGCCTCAGGCAAGGTGGAAGGTGAGGCCAGGACCTCTGTGTGCAGGCTGTGGCCTGCCTGCACCAGCACAGGTGCACCCCCAGCTCTGCCAATTAGTCACTCAGCTGCTCTCTGCTGAGGCAAGCTTATAGGCCTCCTGGGTGCGCTTTCCTTTCCTGCCCCTCCCATCTGCTCCCTTCCAACAGGACCGCAGACCTCACAGTGCTGTTTTCCCCAGCAGAGGTAGGGTGGGGGGCTCTGTGTTTGGCTTCTGGAGGAACAGGGTCCCTGTGAATATGGAGGCAAGCCCTGGCGTTACACAGTGCCTGGCTTCGGTTCCACCCTACCCCTTACTCCTTTGGATGACTTTGGATCCAAAGTCCATCTGAGCCTTTGCATTTTGCATCTACACACTGTAGCAGACGTCCCTTCCTTCTGCACAGAACTGAAAGGTGGTGGTGGTGGTGGTGGTGGTGGTGGTGGTTGTGGTGGTGAAATCAACGCAGCCCCAGTCCTCAATAAACAGCATCATCTCTGTGATCATTAATGGTAACAATGATCTGATAATACATGTGGGAACTTTGGTTTATTTTTTTAACCACTAGGATACTGACCACAGGAAATAAAGAAAAAAATGAGGAAGAAAAGAGGACACTCAAAGGTGAAGGGGAGGCCCCCAAGTTCTTCCTCTACAACAGTTGTTCCCAAAAATTAGCATATATGATGTATGCACAAATACGGGATCTTAATCCCAAGACTTTATAGGAGTAATAGGAGCCTCTAAGCCTCACAGTGGCTACCCAGCCCTCTTTCCCCAAATCTCTAAAAGCTATAAAATTAAGAACTTGTGTGCTGGAACCCAGGGAGGCCTGCTCTACAAAGGAGTCCCAGGAGCTTCTACGAAGTGATGTCATTGGTCATGAGAGAACACAGGACGGTGTGTGGCCAATTTCGCCTTTCATAAGTCTTTCTATGGGTTCTGCTAAATCTGCATATTATTTTGACTTAATGTTCTTCATTTAAATAATTGGATTTTAACTGGGCAGTAGTGATGCATGCCTTGAATCCCAGCACTCAGGAGGCAGAAGCAAGAGAATCTCTGTGAGTTTGAAGCCAGCCTGGTCTACAGAGTTAGTTCCAACTTAGCTATGCTACACAGAGAAACCCTGTCATGAAAAACTAATAAATAAATAAATAAATAAATAAATAAATAAATAAATGGGGGGTCAAAAGAAATAGTAAGTTCACATTTAAAGTCTGTCTTTTGGGTTGAGGGCAAAAATTAACATGTACAAAGTGCTAGATTCAATTGCCAACAAAGGAATTGAAACAGGAGAGGAGAGAGAGGAGTTTCTCCATAGCTTTGGGGCCTGTCCTGGAACCACTGTCGCTTTTTTAAAGTAAAACGTGACTGTTAAAAAAGGAAGGCTGAGCGAGAGACACAGCCCCGTGTGAGAAAAGTGTGCGAAGCCTTTCTGGACTCAGACTGTGTACACTCCTTCCACACCCATGAAAGGACACCTGTACCCTAGAAGAAGAGAACAGGACACTTCTTCATCAGGAAGGATACCTTCCTGCTGTCTCTAGCTGTGGTCCCTGCTCAGGGAACAGGATACCTGGTCTGCAAAAAACAGAATTCCAAGAACTTACAAAAGGCTCCTGGCTCCCTTATCTGCATCTGAGGACTAGGGGAAGGACACCCATCACTGCTGTGCCCATCCTCCTACCGGGAGAGATGAAGGCATCGGGACACGTGGAAATGTAGCCATCAGAAGGAAAGAAACACAGAAGCAGTGGACTGGGCCAACTGGGAACACAGCAGCTGAAGGGAAGACCTAGAGAATGTCTAATTCATATTTTCAAAGGGAATCAAGAAAAGAGGACAATCTGAAATTAGGAACAATTGTTTCAGAAGAAAAGTCCAATCACTGAATTTCAAAATCCGCTGGAGACAGTGAACACAGGATGGATAATTTGGACAATTAGGGAATTAGAAAACAGAGCCGAGAAACGTCTCTGGCCATTGCCTTGATATTTATCACATTAGCTTAGAGTTACATAGATGCTTTCTGCACACTAAGAAAAATACAGATGCGTGAGTTCGAGGCCAGCCTGGTCTACAAAATAAGTTCCAGGACAGCAGGGCTGTTAAACATAGAAACCCTGTCTCAAAGAAAAGAAAAAGCAAGGAAGGAAGGAAGGAAGGAAGGAAGGAAGGAAGGAAGGAAGGAAGGAAGGAAGGAAGGAAGGAAGGAAGGAAAAAGCTATGAAGGACAGCAGCAACTAACATGAGTGGGAAGAACTGCATAACACACAAGTTGAGAAAACACTAACACCCTCAGCAGTGAGAGCTCTTTTTCTCCAAAGTGCTGGAGATGAAACCCAGGCCTCCATGCTTGCTGAACAAGTGGTCTACAGTGAGCGGCATCCCCTATGAAAAGTTCTTAGGAACCAATGAGAAAAATGCGAAGCCAGGGCTGTCACTCACAAGTATCTGCAAATGACAATGCTTAGCATAATTAGAAATAATGAATGTGTACAGTCCTTGCATTGAGTATTTGACATATACAAAACTAAGAGTTGACAACTCGGGGTGCAATAATACTCTCACACATTCATCAGATGGAGATTATTTTTTTAAATATGGGATGTGTTGGCAAACACTTTGTGGACACTCGCGTTCTCAGAGCCATCCATTTCAGCCTTGCAGGTTTATTAATATGTAATTAAAGTTGTACACATAAGAGTTGAGCTGCCAGTTTGTTATCATGGAGTTATTTCTCATAGATATGCATTTCCCACGTAGAATAAGCGGCTGTCTGACGGAGGCAGTTCCACACCGTGGGTCGCACGAAGCTATGAGAAATGATGTCTAAGAGCAGCTTAGAGAACTCAGAGGACAAAGAACTTGCTTGTCAACCAAGAGGATGGAGTTGGAAGCCCTAGTGCTCATACAAAGCCAGGTCCAGCAGTGAGCATTTGTAACTCTACCTTCCCAGAAGCTCATCGGTCACCCGGCTTGGTGTACCGGTGGTGAACCAGACCCTGCCATAGACAAACTGGAAAACACAGACCAACACCAGAGACCCTCCCTTCCACGTGCATGCCATGACACACAAGCACCAACCCCATGTGAGTATTCACACACACAGGCAGTGGTGGCACACGCCTTTCATCCCAGCACTTAGCAGGCAGAAGCAAGTGGATCTCTGTGAGTTCGAGGCCAGCCTGGTCTACAAGAGTCTTCACACACATGTACATGCATGTACATACCCATACATACTACACCCATACACACATTTTGTAAAATGATGTTTCCAAGGTTATTGAGTGCTGGGAACAGGTTCATAATACACTGTGAGGTTCTGTTTTTATTTTTGCAGGCATACACAGAGGTGGAGGGATGAAGAAGGGACAAGGGGCAGATAGGTCTTAGCTTCCTCACTCAGAACACACACACACACACACCAGGTCTCCTCCTTACTGTCTTATGTTCCCCAAGCTGCTTCAAGACGCCCGCGGTTCACCAGACACGGGCCTCAGGGCCTTTGCATGTAATGCTTTCTCCCTGGACAGCGGCAGGGCACAGTCCCTCCTCCTTTTAGACACCCTGCCAAACGTCACCTTGCCAGTAAGTGTTTTCCTGAGAAAGAACTGAATGAAATGTACAAACCAGCCGTGCTCCCAGCATCCCCTCTCCTTGTTCTCATGTCTCCTGATAGCATTTGTTTATCGCCTAGAACATGCCATGGTTTTTGTTTGCTTGTTTGTTTGTTTTGTTTTGTTTTTTCTAATGTAAAAATGTTTTTCTTTTTTCTCCACCTAGAGAGACAGCTCCCTGGGGCTGAAGATCTGTCTGTTTAGTTCTCTTGTGTCTCCTAAGCACTGAGAGTTCTGGGCTGTGGATTTCCGAAGAATGAACAAGCGATGACACAGGTGCCATCAGTGAAGTGAGGTGACCTGGGCGGGGCGGGGGGGGGGGGCATTCACTGAGACAACGATAGCTCCATGTCAGATAATAAGCTAGGAAGAGTTACACAGTGGGTGATCTTGCTACATTCATAGACAGAAAAAACAATAGCAATAGAAATGAAGAAAAAAAAAGGTTTCTAACAATCTTACTGAGAAAGCCATGACAAGCATTATACATTTATCTTAAGCAAATAAAATGAAAATAGAAAAGCATAAAGGGTTCATAAACCATGAAGATGGGGAGCTCATCAGTGCTGAGATATATCCTACAGACAATAAATACAATTTTTATTCAAGCACCTATAGGATATTTAGGGACATTGACTGTAGACTGAGTTTAGTTGAAAGAAAGGGAGAGGTGGGAAGGACAAAGCAAGGGGGCCGGAGAGAAGGTTCAGTAGTAGTGCTGGGAGTCAAACCCAGGTCCTCTGTGAGAGCATCGAGTGCTCTTAATGGCTGAGTCATCCTCCCTGCCCCAGGAGCAAATATTTAAATGCAAAGCTATCTCTCAAGGTTAAAGCACATGCCTACACATAAGCGTGCAAGAAAGGAAATGAAAAACACAATGGCAGAGCCGGAAACAGCCGCAAAAGTCAGGATGTGAGATGTCACAACTTAAAGGAATTGTCTGTCCACCCAATAGGGTTCGTTATTCCTAAAGAGCTGGGTACGGTAAGAAGAGAAAACCAAATAGCAAAACACTCAATCGGGGCTCAAAGACAAATGCAAAACAAACAGGCAGAGAGAAGAAAGCAGACGTATAACTGAGGTACAGTCCCAGAGCAGATTCTTTGGAGAAAAACAAACCAAACAAGTAATACAGATGACTCTCCAGCAAAACCGAGGGAGCGGGGAGAGAGCATAAATAGACACAATTAGGAGCACAGGGGAGCGTTTGACAGCAGGTACAGGGCTGGCAACTACGAGGCAGATGAGTGGCCGGGGGCAGGTGTTGCACATCTGGAGGCTTCTCCAGCTGCCTCTGTGGGTTGTGCCACATGGTTTTAAATCACAGTTGGGCATCACTGGACAACCAGGGCACACTCTCGGAGCTTCCTCGAGGTGTGAACATCACAGAGTGTGATAACCGAAATCTAGGTCGCAGAGACGCCTGCATTCTTGAGCTCGGGGGTCTAGCCTGCGGCTCCTTGACGCAAGATTGCACAGCATGTTACTGTCACTGAACACCCCAGAGGCACCGCTGCTGCACAACAGTATTTGGCAAGAGGATTTTTTCCCAGGATCCTTTATTGACTTAGAGAACCATTGTCGACATCATTCACCCTGCTGTAACACCTGCCAGAGGGAGAAACTGAGTCTGCAAGAAGGGATGTGACTTATTCAACATCCAAGCATGCTAAAAAAAGGGAAAAAAAAAAAAAAAAAAAAAAAAAAAAAAAAAAAAAAAAAAAAAAAAAAAAAAAAAAAAAAAAAACACTAGTCTAGGTGAATCTCCAAGTTCAGTGTGCCTCAAAAATGTATTAATTATTATTCATTATACTTTTTTAGATGGGGAGGGGAATCTCATATAGTCCAGACTGGCCTTCAACTCCCTTTATAGCTAAGAATGCCCTTGAACTTCTGATCCACCCTGCCTCCACCTCGCCAGTACTGGGATTGCAGGAAGACGCCAACACTTTGAGTATGTGTGGCACTGGGGAGGGAACTAACCCATCTTATTACCATAGCCAGGCCAGTGCCTTTTCGTTGTCTTTCTGTGTGCTTGCGTTAATGCATAGCTCTTGCTAAGATGCTCACAGGAAAACTGTTTCAGCCAACAACCGCTTTAAGCAAACACTTGGCTTTCTGGTGCTGCCATTTAAAACAGGCAGGCGCAACCCAGGCCAAAGGTTATGCCGCATATTGGGCTGAATGTGCACACAGCAAAACTAGAGGTGGCGGGGTCGGGGTGGGGGTGACAACTTCGTTTCTGAAAATGGACTTAAGCTCCTCGAGCAGCTCAATTGGCCTGGGAAAGAAAGGGGTTGGGGATTACAAGGAAGGTAGTGTTCTGGTGTGGCCCCACCTTCCTAGAGGACTATGCAATCACAGAAGCTAGGAGAGGTGGGGAGGGGGATACCTGAGCAGAGCCACCATCTCTCCATGAAGGGGTCTCAGAAGTGAGAAGTCCCAGAAGCGCTAGGGCAAAGGGTGGGGAAAGGGGCCTGGTGTGGCCTGGGACTGGAATGTGTTGGGCTCTGTGGGGAAGACACACACAGTAGGCACAAGATCTAAGGCACAAGCAGGAAGCCCTTAAGAAGCCACAAAGCAAGGTGGGGCCAGACCTGCTCTGGGGTATGGGGGTGCTGTTCAGAATAGCTCCTCTTCAAGAGAGAAACCTGGGAGGCTGCCCCAGCAAAACCCTACTCTGTGGCCACCACGAGCTCACAAACAGTCTGAGAAAGCCAAGGACGTTTTCACAAAAGAAGCCGCCATGTTTTTCCTGTAGCTGTGATTCTTGCACCTGCGTTTTCCGTCCTGTGCCTGGCACCCAGTCAGAGCCAGTCAGTGGTAACTATCTTTACTACAACTATCATTATGTTCTCTCCTGCCTCACTTCTACCCACCAGGGATCATGGATCTTCTCTTTAGCCCCTGTCAACTTGACCTGCCAAGGAGGGAACACCCAGTCTGTGGATCCGTGAGGGCGGGGACACGCCACGGGGAAAGTATCCGAAACCATGAAGGGGAAGAAAGGATGTCACACTAGTGTTTCCTGCTCAAGCAGCTCCTTCCTCCTGTAATGTCACTAAACTTAGTCATCGTGTGCAGGTGGCTCCCTGATCTGCAGAGGAAAATGTGAACTTTTGGAAAAGTGAGTTGTGACCTTCTTCTGATCCAGGCAGGCAGATGACAGAACCCCAAGCCTGGGCTTCCATCAAGCTGTGATTTTCTGTGTGCATATATTTAATGTGGCCGAGCTAATTCAGCAAACATTTACCCCCAAACACCAGTTTTCTCGCTATCAATCTACCAAACCTTTTCATGGTCTTCAGTAGTGAGCTGAGGACAGCCTTGGTTCGTGCTCATGATTTTGTAAGACTGATGTTTTAATCACTTCTGAATTGTGCCTTTTTTAAATCTCCCCACCAAGTCATGGTGACTATCCACGCATTATCCACATCACCGCTCTCATCACGTGATCCTCGACTGCTGTCGTGAGTAATTTCTTGTTCAAGGTTCATCTCTGCTCCCCACCAGGGGTTCACAAACACACATTTGTCTTCTATTCTGATGCACCCTGAGGGACTAGAACATTCTATCCATTTGAAGAAGAGCCTGTGATAAATCAATGTGGAGCAGGGACCGGGAAGCTTTAGGTGGGCAATGGAGGATGTATGGCCTGAAAGATGCGTTCTCTTTCATGGGAAATCAGTTCGATTTTTCTTTTCTTCCACTCGGAACTGAAAGAGTCCCGAGTGAGACAATTTAGAAAGGAGACAATTTATCTTAAAGAACTAAGAGCAGGTCCAATCACCACTTCCCCCAAAGTGACGGCTGGGAAGCCAGGTTAGACCATTGATCCTGACTCTCTTTCTCAGGTGACTATGAGGTGGTTGCCCATGGGGCTGACCTACTTTCCTGTTGGAGACGCCGGATGAGGGTGCTTTGTTCTGGCAGTGGGAAAAAGCAAAGCAGCAGAAACAAGACAGGTGGGTGACCATGGACAGGAGGCACTATCAATGGGGACACACGGCCTTGAGGAGTCAAGACTGTCCAATGGATTGCCCAGATCTGTCAGGTAAGCTTGAGAGAGGGCTTTAGTGCCCACGAGGCTGGGTGCAGTAGGACAGAGGTGATCACTAGGGACCGGTAAGGACTGTGGCCAAGAGAGAACCACGCCCTGGCATTTGGCTTTTCATAGGTAGAATCTTGTCATTTCAGATTTTGTGTGCACGCGCGTGTGTGCGCATGTGTGTGTGCATGTGTGTATTGTGTGTGTGTGTGTGCATGCATGTGTGTGTGCATATGCATGTGTGCGTGTGTATGCGTGCATGCATACGTGTGTGTGCGCGCACGTGTGCATGCGTGTATGTGTATACATGCGTGTGTGTGTGTGTGTGTGTGTGTGTGTTCCTCAAGGAGAAAGGTGGATGTTCACTGCCTTTTTCAATCACTCTCCACTTTACTTTTGGAAGGTTCTTTTCACGGAATCCAAGCTCACCAATGGGTTAGACTCATTACCCAGTGAGTTCTATGGGTTTTCTTGTCTCTGGATGCCCCAGTTTCTGCCCCCTTTGCCCCACCAGTGCTGTGGTTACAGATACTTGCCGCTGCTGTTGTGCCGGCTTTTACATGGGTGCAGGGGATCTGAGCTCAAGTCCTCATGCTCATATACAATCAAGCGCTTTACTGACTCAGCAAGCTGTCTCCTCATCTCTTTTAATACTAACAATTAATTATTTTTTTAAAGCCCTGGGGATTAAATTTAGGGCCTTGTTCATGCACGCTGGGCAGATGCATTGCCACCCAGCCATCTTCCAGGCCTCCTTTTACTTTATTTTGAAGTAAGTGATCAAAGTTCCCCAGGCAGGCCTTGCCCCATGCAATCCTCCCAACCTTAGCCTACCAATTAGCTAGGATGGAAGGCCCATGTCACCAGGCCCTGTCAACTCCCACTCTGTAAATTGAAGAGCCAAACGAGGCGCATGCGTGAGACCGAGCCAAGCTAGCAGTCACTGTGGTGGGTTTTCTTTTGCATATTGCAATTTTAAGAGAAAAGGGAAAACATATTCGATCCCAGGTCTGATGGACCGACTTGCATTGTGGTTTCCAATGCAGAATTCTTCTTACCAGCCATCGACCCCGGCCTTTTGCAGTTCCGAAATCCCAAATGACAGAGATCCCATGAAGTCATTCCTGCTGGTCAGGTCCCAATCCCAGATCTCTACAGAGAGTCTTCTGTCCTTGTCTGATTCCTTCAGCTGACTGGAGGGAGAAAGAGAGAGAGTGAGTCAGCCAAGGCCATCTTGATTTCTCCTGTAGATAAAATGTACAAGAGGATGAGGGCCTGAGATAGAAACCCTTCACTGTCACAAGCTACTGCAGGAGACGCACTTGGTTTCCACTCCCCTGGGAGTAGGGACTCATTCTGTTCGACAGCCTGTTGATTGAACAGGTGGGAGACCTTGGCTAGCTCCAACAAAAGCAGGTCTATCTGGGGCTATTGTCTCTGTCTTTGTTCCCACGGATGTCACAGAGAAAAATTCCAATGTTCAAAACATCATCGGGGGCACACATGTGTGTGCATTTGCATACTTGTGGGTTGGATGAAGTAGAGAAACTCATGGAGAAACCTCCTTCTGGAGTCTCGGGGGAAACTGTTCTGCAACATGGCCCTGAAAGGCTCAGATAGACATTGCTTTATCCTGAGAAAGAGGCAAGGGTATAAGGTTGCCCCCAAGAACCGTGATGCCAGCCTGTGGCTGCAGTATGACCTAGGGTGGCAACCTACGCAAGGCTGCATATTCCTCAGTTACTCACTCAGGGGCTTCTTTAGCAAGGCCCACGCATAAAATAGAAATGAATTAAGAAACAATTGTTAGTCAGATCGCTTAATTGGTGCTCGACTGTACATCATACTTGCTCAGTAAATACCAGCTGTTACTATGAACGACCGTTGGCCCAGGCATGTTGAGAGGGGACCCATATACTTTTCCTGGCCAGAGAAGACCCTAAAGCAAAGCTGATATGGTCCTCCCAGTAGGAAGCAAACCAAGTACCATGTAAACTCAGCCCTGGAGATATTGACAGTATAGCCTATAGACTATGCCCTATTCATTACCTTTCACCAGGCAGCACAAATACCCAATCCCATCCAGCCTGGCTCCACACATCACAAACAGTCTCAACTCTATTAGAAAAAGATCCAATTTCCCCTTAACTCACAATACTGAAATCCAGAGGGAAGAGAAGGGGGGAAGGAAGTGAAGGGAAAAGAAAGAAAACAGAGGCTAAAGGGGAGATAAAGGAGAGATGCCCCAGTCCCTGAAGACCACTATCCTCTGTCACCCATGCTGAGCCAACGTAGTTTGTACTTACAATCTGAAGGTCTCGTTCCACTCGGGGTTGAGAGAGCACTTGATGGTCCTGGTCTTCTGCTTACTCTCACTTTTGGGATCAGGAATCAGTTTCAGTTTAACGTAGGGATCTGATAAGCCATTGGGGTCCATAGGTACAAGATTTTTAGCATCTCTTACTGAAAAACAAAATGCAGTTCCAATATTACTAACGTCCAAAATGTTTACATTTCTGTTAGTGATGCCTGTGATACCCATGGTTGGGTCCTGAGCATCCCTGCTTGGTGAGAATTTCATTAATATCAACAGCTTGAGAGGCATGCAAATGAGACAGCCTGACAGGATGTAAATTCTGTTCCATATTGTATAAAAAATTATTCTTAAAACCTTTATTAGCATATATTAATTATGCAAAATAATGTTTCCTTATAATATTTTCAAGCGTGTATATAACACATGTGCTGGCTAGTTTTATGTCAACTTGACACAAGCTAAAGTCATTTTGGAAGAAGGAACCTCAAGAGAAAATATCCTCACCAGATTAGCCTGTAAGTAAGACTGTGGGGCATTTTCTTGATTGATGACGACAGGGGAGGGCTCAGCTCGCTTGTGAGCAGGGCTCCCCCTGAGCTGATGGTCTGGGTTATATAAGAAATCAGGCTGAGCAAGTCCTGATGAGCAAGCCAGTCGGTAATGCTCTTCCATGGTCTCTGCATCAGTCCCTGCCTCCAGGTTCCTGCCCTCCCATCCTGACTTCATTAGAGGACGGAATGTGATGTGGAACCAAAAGGTAAAATAAACCCTTTCCTCCCCAAGTTGCTTATGGCTATAGTGCTTTCTTAGAGTAACAGAACCCTACGACAACATACTTTATGCTCAGCCTTCCTAAAAATTGACTTCTGACTTCGGTTTTGCTTTCACCCCTCCTTACTTCTAAAACACACTCTAATTTTTCTAAAACCCCCTTCCCCAAGACCCACAAGAATCTGTCCCTTTTAGTTTTAGCATGATAGTTTCAAGGTGTCATTGTACAACAAGTATCCATGTTGCTTTTTAAAGTTCAGTAATATTCCATTCCATAGTTATGCTGTATTTGTTTATCCATTCATCATTTGTAGACATCCAGGTGGCATCTCCTTTCTGGGTATTAGGAAAGGAGCTGCTATGACCATGCATATGCCCAGACACAACGGTCACATGCTGTGTGATGGTCAGTCTCCATTGAGATTTCGTCAACTGGAAAAAAGTTGGGACATTAGGAAAGTACATTTCGTGGTGCGTCTATAAGGGCATTTACGGAAATGATTAGACCACCAGGGCTCTGGCTAAATGGATGGTCTAATCCACTGATGGATACCAAATAAGAATTAGCTACTGGGAGCTGGTGCAATTGCAGATGGTAGAGTCTGGCTGGAGAAATAAGTCACTGAGGGCATGTCCTTGAGAACTAGATCTTGTCCTGGCCGTCTCCTGTAACCGTTCTGCTCTGTCTCTTGTCTGTCAAGATGTGAGTTTTTCCATCACACTCTCCCACCATGACGGACTGAAACCATGAGGAGAACAAACCCTTCTTCCCTCAGGCTGTTCTCTCAGGTATTGGACACAGCAATGAGACAAGACTAAGCTAATCCTGTGCAGTCAACCCACACAGACAAACAGAGGGCTCACTGTTGCTGCATGTGAGGGAAGGGGACCAAAGAAGTGGCGCTTCATGGACACAAGCTTTTCTTTAGAGGCGATGGGCTCACTAAAACTAGAGAGATGACCACAATGCTGTAAATGTAAAGTACAGGGAACTGTGTATTTTAAAAGAGCGAATGGCTAATTTATATGCTGCAAATGTTACCTTCATCCAAAAAGAAAAGGACAAACAAGGAAAAAGAGTTGCCGTCTAAATGAGGGTACATCTGCCATCCACATGTCATTACGCAGCAGCACTCAGAGAGTCCACAGAGAGAAGGCTGGAAGAATATCAACAACATTACAGATAGCCTCCACCTAATAAGGCTCCTTCATGAAGGTTATAGAACCGGCTTAAGGAAGGAAAGGGAGTGAAGGATCTGAGCCGAAGATACAGTGGGCCAGACAGGAGACAAGGGAGAAGGAAGCATATGCTTGGAGAACAGGAAAAGCTGATCAAACAGTAGCTCAAAAGGTAGAAACATACACAGCCAAGAAAAGGGGATCAGAAAAAGAGGCTTGCATGGAACTTAAGCTTATAGTGTTAAATAATGTAAGGTTGTGTTGTCCATCTTGGGAAAGAAAATCCAAGATAATATATTCAGTCCAAAAACAAATGAAACTCAGACAAACGAATATTGAGTGTACAGGAAATGTAAAGATGATTCAACCTTTTCACAAATCTATTATTAATATATTCGTCAATTTAAAACTGAAAGAAGAAAACCACAAGGTCATTGTAGTTATCTGAAACTAGCATGAAAATCTCTCAACAGGGTCAGGGCTAGCTGAAATAAAAGCATCACAGTTTATGACAAACACAATCCCACCAAAGTCAGCAATGAGGCAATGATAACCCATTTCCACATCGATTTCTGTACATGTTCTCTAAATGTTACATGAATGCAACAACACAACAAAAACAGGAATTTTCAGAGCAGGCCTGGGACAGTGAACTCCACAGGAGCAGGTCTGAGCCAGGGACCTTGGGCCAGAGCGGGCCTGAGGCAACAAATTCCACAGGAGTAGGACTGAGCCAGTGATCTCTGTGGGTCCAGTCATTGATCTGGGACCTCCAAAGGAGTAGGCAGAAACCAGAAAGCTCTGCTGGTCCTGGCATGAGTCTGGGATTTCTGAGGGAGAAGATCAGAGCCAGAGACCTTAATATAAATGGACTCAACTCATCTGTAAAAAGAAACAGGCTAACAGATTGGATATGAAAACAGAATCCATCCTTCTTTTACATACAAGAAACATACCTCAACCTCAAAGACAGACATTGCCTCAGAGTAAAGGGTTGACAAAAATTTTCCAATCAAATGGACCTAAGAAACAAGTGGGTGTAGCTATACTAATTTCTAACAAAATAGACTTAAAAGTAAAATCAATCAAAAGAGACAAAGAAGGACATTACATATTAGTCACAGTAAATATTCATCAAGAAGAAATCTCAATACTGAACATCTATGCCCTAAATACAAGGGCACCCTCATATGTAAAAAAAAAAAAAAACACTTCTAAAACTTAAATCATACATTAAACCCCACACACTAATGGTAGGAGACTTGAACATTCCACTCTTGCCACTGGACAGGTCAATCAGACAAAAAAATTAACAGAGAAACAAGGGAACTAACAGATGTTATGACTCAAATGGACTTAACAAACATCTATAGAATATTCCATCCAAACAGAAGAGAATATATATACCTTCTTCTCAGAACCTCGTGGAACCTTCTCAAAATTAACCACATATTTGGAAACAAAACAAACTTCAACAGATACAAAAAAAAATTGGAATAACCTCATGTATCTTATCAGATAACCATGGCTTAAAACTAGAAGTCAACAGCAATACTAATTCCAGAAAACCCACAAACCCATGAAAATTAAACATTGATCACCTGAGTCATCAATGGATCAAGGAAGAAATAAAGGGAGAAATTAAAGACTTCCTAAAATTCAATGAAAATGACCACATAACATACCCAAATTTGTGGGACACAATGAAAGCAGTGTTAAGAGGAAAGTTCATAGCACTAAATGCCTACATAAAGAAGCTGGAAAAATCTCACACTAGTGAATTAACAGAACATTTGAAAACTTTGGAACAAAAAGAAGCAAACTCAGCCAAGAGAACTAGACAGCAGGAAATAATAAAATTGAGAGCTGAAATCAACAAAATAGAAACAAAGAAAACAATACAAAGAATCAATGAGACAAAGAGTTGGTTCTTCGAGAAAATCAACAAAATAGACAAAGATTTATCCAAACTAACCAAAAAGCATAGAGAGAATATCCAAATTAACCAAATCAGAAATGAAAAGGGAGACATAACAACAGACACAGAGGAAATCAAGAGAATCGTCAGGTCATATTTTAAAAAACTGTACTCCAAGAGCACGAGCAAGGAACTCAGGACCGCAAGGGGTGCACCCACACACTGAGACAATGGGGATGTTCTATCGGGAACTCACCAAGGCCAGCTGGCCTGGGTCTGAAAAAGCATGGGATAAAACCAGACTTGCTGAACATAGTGGACAATAAGGACTACTGAGAACTCAAGAACAATGGCAATGGGTTTTTGATCCTACAGCACGTACTGGCTTTGGGGGAGCCTAGGCAGTTTGGATGCTCACCTTACTAGACCTGGATGGAGGTGGGTGGTCCTTGGACTTCCCACAGGGTAGGGAACCCTGATTGCTCTTTGGGCTGATGAGAGAGGGGGACTTGATCGGGGGAGGGGGAGGGAAATGGGAGGCAGTGGCGGGGAGGAGGTAGAAATCTTTAATTAATAATAATAATAATAATAATAATAAAGCTAAAAAAAACTGTACTCCACAAAATTGGAAAACTTGAAGGAAATGAACAACTTTCTGGATAAATATCACTTACCAAAATTAAATCAAGACGAGATAAGCAAATAAACATACCTATAACTAGTGAAGAAATAGAAACAGTTCATCAAAAGTCTCCCAAACAAAAGAAGCCTGGGACCAGATGGTTTCAGCTCAGAATTCTACAAGATAGACAAAGAAGAACTAATACCAATACCCCTCAAATTGTTCCACACAATAGAAACAGAAGGAATATTGCCAAACTCTTTTTATGAGGCTACAATTACCCTGATAACCAAATCACATAAAGACATTATTAAGAAAGAGACCAATCTCACCCACGAACATTGATGCAAAAATACTAAATAAAATACTGGCAAATCGAATCCAAGAACACATCAGAACCATCATCCACCATGATCAAGTCAGTTTCATTTCAGAAGTGTGGGGATGGTTCAAGATCCAAAAGTCTGTCAACATAATCCACCATATAAACAAACTGAAAACTAAAAACCACATGATCATCTCATTATATGCTGAAAAAGCTTTCAACAAAATACAGCATCCCTTCATGATAAAGGTATTGGAGAGAGTAGGATACAAGGAACATACCTAAACATAAGAAAGGCAATATACAGCAAGCCAACAGCCAACATCAAACT